CCTTCCCCACCGCAGCCCCGGCCCCGGCCTGCTGCAGCCTGTGACAGACCCCGCGGCTCTGACGCAGCTGATCCCCCGGCGCCACCGTGTCCTGCCTGCCCGCCGAGGTGTCGCGGGGGGGAGGGCTGCGGGGACGGGGCTGGGGCGGTTGGTGCCGGCAGGGCCGAGCTGAGGAAAGGTCCGGGCAGCGCAGGGAGGTGCCGAGGGAGGAAGCCCCCGCCTTGAGGAAGTCTTGCCTTGCTCCCAATCTTGAATCCGGGTCTGAGGGGCCTGAAGGCAGGAGGCATTTGCCTGGTCACCCTCCCTCTCAGTGCAGTTCTTGCCGCAGGACAAGCTGTGCTGTGCTGTGGACATCACTTGCCACTCCTTTGGGGGTGGTATTTGGATCCTGGCTTCCTTGGTTAGAAAATAAGTTGAGAGAGTAGGAGGGGCCATTTCCTCGTGTGGGCTGTTGACTTTTTTTGTTGTTGACATTCAGTGAATAAATCCAAGGAGTGATGGGTTTGCTGTTTGTTTTTATGGTAAAACATTGGGTGCAGAAACTGACCTATAGTAAGATACTTGCATTCATCTCGGTGGAAGCCGACTTACCCACTTGTAAAGGTGGCTATAACAATGGAAAATATAGAAATCTTAACTTGGGCAGTTATTAATTCATCTCTTAAGATTGGTTCAGGCCTAAAACTTTAGGGATATCTCCCCCCCCACCCCCTTTCACAGGGCGGGGCAGAGAAGATTTTAATACATGGAAGAACTGGCTGTAAATTACGATGACTGTTTTGATTGTCAAATCTTAAAAGTAAAAGCAATATGTTAAGTGTGTGCTGTAAGTGAAACTTCATGCTTTTTAGCTGTAACGAAAGGTTTAATTAGCAACTAAGGCTTGTCTCTTAGATATATCTAACTGTAATGACTATTTCGCATAATTTTCTATTGGAAAGCTGCAAACTTCTGAGGTATACATGTTACACCTTTCAAAGAAATGTTCACTTGTTTCATGAGGAAAACTTTAATTTTTGCCTTACAGATCAAACAATAGAACTAGACCATGCAAAACAACACTGGGTAGGTGCATTTCCAGGTAACAGTAAGGTTAACCTGAAATGTCATTCTTTTAGCATGCAGTTGTGGCAAAATTGCTTTTAATTCAGTGACTCGTAATGTTCCTTACCTTTCTGGACTATATCTTAAACTCTTTTGTTCTGGTTACTAGATAGTGTCAGTGCCAAAATAATGGTGATGCATAATTATCTAATATTTATGTAGCGTTTATTTTGTAGCAGTTGCCCGAGTTCTAATCCTGACTCCATAGTGATGTTCTTCATGGCCTCAGGCGAGTCATTCCAACTCTGTGCCTTATTCTTTGTAAAACGGGGAATCTTAGCTCATCTAACAAGAATGATGTGAGACTTGGTTAACGTTACTACAGTGTTTTCTTCAGATAAAGTGCTAAATAAATACAGTTCACCCTAGATACAGACATTTAGTAATGTGAATAGTTTGTTTGGTGGTGGTATCATAATATTTTTCGGAGTGCTGTATATTGAATTTGAGATTTCTTTATTTCTCCAGTGAAAATGTGTTCAACATCAAAATGGCAGAGTGCAACTTGCTTTAAAACTGGAATTGCTTTAAATATATTGTACCTACTGCTTTAAAGCTGGTGCAAAGTGTGTGGGGGAAAGCAAACAGTCGGGCAGTAGTTGTTGAACACTTCTTTTTCTGTGAGACCTGAAGTGAGAGTTTGTATCTGTGCCTGCAATAATTGATGACCTTGCTAAGGCACAAAATAAGCACAGTGGTAACACCTTATATTGCTTAGGTGACATTGATGATGTCATCTGCTTTTAAAAAAGAAACAGAACTTTGATCTTGGCAGGTATAAAGCCTTTTAGTTTACCTTTCAGGGTTCATTCTTTTGTTGTGGATGTGTTACTAAATGGATTTTAAATGTACAAGGGATCCTAAATTGGGTTCTGGGAGTGTAAGACTGCTACAGGGATTAAAATTGGTCTGTTTGAGTGTTTGTTTTGAATATTGCATGCTCTGTGTTTTGGATAATGTTGAAATGGAGGTCTCCTTTTGAATGGCATGCCAATGTTACAGTGTATTTTCATCAATTGATGTAAGCCAGTTGCAAGCCCGTTGGAGAAACTGCAACTTGTAGGTGGCCAAGCCTAATTCTATTATTTTCCTCCCCCTCAAAAGTAGTAGTGAAATCGTTTTTTGGTAAGTAATAGTGAAAATGGTAATAGGTTTGATCGAAAGATTTGATCTTTATAGACAGCTGTTTATTTTAATATATTGATTTACCCTTTCATTTCTTCTTGAGGCTGGAGAGCCAAGACCTGTATTGGTTACATTTGTATAACGCCATTTTACAGCCATGGTTACACAAGTAGAACTGACGATGTAATTTGAAGACAGGTTGCACAGGTGTCACAGAAGGATAATTTGGCTAGCAGAATAGTTGTTATACTGGTATATTTTAAGGTTGCAGTGTGACTTTCAGAGCTAAGGTTGAGCATAGGGCTGGCAGTTAGAAGAAATATTTCACTTGTAAAATGAATGCATTGGATGAAATCGTGATAGACATGATGTCTTGCATACACAGTCTTTGTCATTACTTTTAGGGCAGAATTCTTATAAGATATGTCAAGCATTTAGATGATAAATATTTGTAATATGTTGTTCCGTGTGTAGCCTTAATTCTTCTCCTAATGCAGGGGCAGGCAGAATATGGTCCACAGACCAAATATGGCCTGCCAGGCCATTCTGTATGGCCTGTGGGATCCCTAAAAAATTTAGAGAAGGTAATATTTATCTGCCTCTAGCTGCCTGTCAAAGTTGACAGAAGATGGGGGCAGTAGGACCCAGGGGAAGCCACTAGCAGGATCAAGCAGCTGCAGAAGCAAGACCCAGCAGCTCCCACCCCCCCGACAGAAGCCACCCTGGGTCTGTTCCTGCCTCCCTGTGCCAGAGGGTATTCAGGTAAGAAGTGGGGGGAGGCAGGGGAGGACTGTAGGCAGTCGCCCCAGTCCTCAGTGTTGGGCCAAGCCAGTTGCTGCAGTCCCGGCACGGTATCCAGGAGCCATGTGGAACCAGATCCTCCAACGGGGTGGAGAGGAATGGCAGTAGCCGCAGGGGGGGGAAACTGTGAAAGAGGCAGCAGGCAAGGGGGAGGGGCAACGAGCAGGCACACTGAGCTCAGCGATTGCTGGGCGGAAGTGTGGGGTCCATGTAGTGTGCTGGGACCAGGGCCAGCGGGGCCCAGAGTAGGGCGACAGGAGCGGATGGCCAGGCTGGATCCCCCTCTCCCTGCTGGCACAGCCTGGCCTGGCTCCATAGAGCCCTGCTGGCCCCTGCCACCCAGCTCTGGGCCCTGCCAGCACTGCCCCGGCTCACTGCATGGGCCCCATGCTCCCACCTAACTGTCACTGCATTCCATGTGCCTGCTTGCTGCTACTTCCTTCTGTTTGCCACAGCCGCTCTCCCCCCGCTGCCCCCACTCCCCCCCCCCCCCCCGTCTGGCACCACATGGTTCTTGGCTGCAACACCAGGCCACAGGACGCAGCAGGACCCGGCCCAGCTCCTGTGATTCTCTGCTGGCCCCGTGCCGTGCTGGCTGGGCCAGGCTGGGTCCTGCTGTGTCCTGCTGTGTCCTGCCGTCTCGGTCATGCAGCTGAAACATGGTGTCGGAGCAGGGAGTGGGAGGATAGGAAGAGAGGGAAGTGGCAAAAGGGCAGCTGGGGGGGGAAGGGGCGGGGGGAGTGTCTGGGAGCGGGAGCATGGGGCTGTGCCAGTGGCCCAGGGCCCGGAGCCCAGAGCTGGGGCTTGGAGCACAAATCCTCCCCTTCTACATGTGCCACAACCCTCCCCCAGCATGCTTTCCCCACACTCCCAGCACCCCACAAACCCCAAAGCCACCCACACCACATACACCCCTATAGTATACAAGACTAAGACTTCATTTTAAGCTATTGTACTATCACGTCTGTGTACACTGCACAAACGCATGTAAATCAGGCCAAAATATTTTTTGAAATTAAATTAATGAATGTTGTAGGAAATGTTTGATTTTTAGAATATAACTTTGGTATTTTTCTGGTTCCGAGATGACAAACCCTTGCTGAAAGGAGTACTTCTGGGGGGCAGAAGAAGAGGAACTTCTGGTGGCAAAGGTCAGGGGCTAAAGTTGGGACTTCCAGTCACAAAATGGTGACCAGGGGGGCAGGACACCTGTCAAGGGGCTGGGCTACCCTTGTGACCCTTGATGGCTTGCCAAAACTTGGTAAGTGGCTCTCCACCCAAAATAATTGCCTGCCCTTGTCCTAATGTATCCAGCTAGTGTATTGAATAGAATAGGATCCTGGAAAAGAGCAGTGTGTGATTAGTGTAATTAAAGGATGTATCATAATATATATGCATAAGGGAGAAGAATTAAGGTTTCCCAAGTATTTAACTTGTGGCCTATTCAAAAGAAACACAAGACTATTTTTAAAAGTTTCTATGCTCCTTAAAGGAAAAATATATTATTCATATCTATAACAGCCTTGCAGTTATACACATGTCTATAACAGTCTCTTGCATGCATCGTTGTCACAGGGTTTGAAATCTATGTTAGCTATTACTAGGCAAAGGTTGTTGTCCCAGATGGGAAGATGGTTTTTGGTGCCATGTGCTGTCTGTGAAGAGTTTGGAGTGAACTTTTAAAAAAAAATTTTGCTACTATATCTGCTATGGCATCTTCTAGATGTTCTGGGCTCGGCTTGTCTGCCAATGTTGTGGTAATAGGGCTAGTCTCTTTAGAGGGGTTGTGCTCAGTTTTTACTTTGGACATGTTATCAACATTTTCCTGAGCATTGCAAAAAAGGAATTAAACAGTAACTTTGGACAGTTGATAATTCAGCTAAACCTGAAAAAATTAGGGAGACCAAAATAAAACACTTGCATAGTCCCACAGCTTTCTCCCTGCTGAAATTAAAGGGCCTGCTTCAAACAGTGCAGATGATAGAGCTTCACAAAGAAAACTGCAGTTATCTTTTGGAGTGAAAAATGTTAGGTGACCAAAATGCCAAGGATACTACTCCTAGTGTTTTGTAAGAGAAGGTTCTGAATAGGCAAACTTGGCAATTAAAAATCTTTTTGAAGTGGTATAGTTGGTAAGGAAGGAGCTGCATGATGCCTATTTCCCTAAATTGCCTCATGACTTGAAGAGATGCCTGTTTAAGGCTGGACATAGTTCAGTATCCATCACTATTCAGGTCTGGGCTTTTTTCCTGCCAAGGGGTATGCCAGCTTACAGCACTTGTAATGAGGATACCTCATGTAACAGGATAAAGACCATCAACTAATTTAGCATAAAACTGGCTGCACCAGCAGATCACCCCTAGGGGAGGAGAAGAGGCAGCCAATGTTGCAATAGGGGGGGAAGGAGCAAGAGAACTGCCTCCAGTAAACAATACCTGCCACTGATGACAGAGAGAGGGAGGGAGAGAGTTAGCAGTACCTTCTGTAAGGGAGGGAAGAGGGACAGCAGGGAGGGCTGTGGGGTGAGGATCAGTGACATGACATAGGGCAGGGGAAGGGGATGCATTGGGTGTAGTGATAGAAGCTACAGTTTAGAGATGTTCCCTAATGGAATACTGAGGGAGTTTGGAGATGCTCCCTCACTGAGGGACTATCTATTTAGTGAGGTTGAAAAACTGAAGGTCTGCTATTCTGTGATGAACAGGAATCCTAGTTTTCAGTAATTAAAAAAAAATGGCAAATTATCTTATTTAAAAACCTCAAAGTACATGATTAAAATGAAAGCCCTCCTACTCTCCCCAAACCCTCCAGCCTTATTGGTGCCCCTTGCTCCCCACCCACAGCCCCTGCTTCCTCAGCCCTGCTGGAGGGGCCCCCAGGTGCCAGGGCTATGGGGCCAGGGACCCGGGTGTGCAGCCCCCTGCCTGTGGCAGGAGAGGGCGGCTGCTGCAGCCAAGTGGAGCCTGGCAGGCTGTGCT